GAAACGATTTTTGAAGGATCAATGAAAAAAAAAAAAAAAGGAGAAAGTAATTGTTGCTTCGATTTGACACTCGAAAGGAAATTAAAATCAAATCTATTCTCTGTCGGGGAAAATAATTCGTTTATCCAACTTAACAGACCGATTAAAGAAAAAGATGAAGAGATGGATAGATAGATAGATAGATAGATAAATAGATAGATAGATAGATAGATAGACAGATAGATAGATAGAGACAGGAAACGGAAACACGATTTGTACGTACGATCGATCAAAACCCTCGTCGTCTCGTTTGCTGGAATCGCGGCTCGGCCGACGGTCTATCGAGGCGATTCGATGAGCTAACGCCAACTTAACGCTACACACCCCACTGAGCTGCACTCGGTCAGATAACTCGTGGATTTTCGATCGTAGTACGCGGCTCCAGGTCGGATCTAGGTCGTTTACTCACTTGTGGATTCTTCGACGTTCCCAACCTCAATCCTTCCCGATTCCTTACCAACGATCCTATTCTAACGTAAATGTCAGTGACACTTTTCATTTTTTTTTTTTTTTGACCAAAGAGAGACAAGAAGAGTAAAAGAGAGAGAGAGAGAGAGAGAGAGAGAGAGACTGAAAATTCGCCTAAATTCGTACAATTTAAGGGAACTGTGTCGATTATTATTTCATCGATATTACGATATGAATTAACGTCTTCTATGTTCCGAATGAAATTCTCCATATTTACTTAGTAACTTTTCCTCTCTTTCTTTCTCTCTTCAAGTATTCCCTTCGTAACCCCCCGTAACTCATTCTTTTCTCCTCCCCCCACTTCACCCATCCACGCTCAACTTTCGTTAGGACATATACACTTAATTTCGTTCGATTTACTATGAACGATTCGTTGATTATTTTTTTTTGTTATTTTTTTTTTTTTTTTTTTTTTCCTTTAATCGATACAACGAACGAGTGTGTATGAAAACACACTTTATTAAAAATCGTTTAAATGCCGTTGAATATTATCCACGCAAGATTTATAAAAGCCACCGGGACGACTTACATAAAAAGCTCGATCGAGTAATTGAAAGAAAGATAGACGGAAAGATAGAAAGGAAAACAAAAAGAGAAAGGGAAGAAAGAGAGGAAAGTGTAAAAAAAAAAAAAGAAGAAGAAGAAAAGGAAAGAAAAGAGAAGAGAAGAAAAAAAATCTGCGAAATCTGAATCCGCCATTAAAATTTTCCTTTCAATTTTATTGACCTTTTAAAAATCGATTAACCGATTAAAGAATTAATAATAGACAAGATTCGATTAATTGATACGTAAGTTAACGTGATTAGATAAGATAGAAACGAACTTTTTTGTACATATTATATATGGGAATGAATGAGCTTCTGATTACCCTTAATCCCATCCAAGATAACCCCTCACACCTATACACACACGCACGCACACCCTTAACTCCATTAAAGTTGTTTATGTCGTATGAAGGATTAACAAATTGTCCCAATATTATTCTTACATGAATTTATGGATTGGTATTGAAGAGAAAACAGGAAATTGGTGTTCATGAGAGAAAGAAAGAGAGAAGAGATAGATAGATAGATAGATAGATAGATAGATAGAGAGAGAGAGAGAGAGAGAGAGAGAGAAAGAACTTTAAAGAGATAAAAAGGGCGAGTGTTGGAAGGCGCGAGAGAATGGAAATCAATACGTGAAGTGAGCAACCAGTTTCAAGCAGGAGCTGCCGGCTTTAGAAAGCCCTGAGACGTCGTCTGCTCATCCTCTTTGGACCCTGCGTTAAGAGAGCTTGAACGGGGGTGAGTGAGAAAGAGAGACAGAGAGACAGAGAGACAGAGAGAGAGAGAGAGAGAGAGAGAGAGTGAGAAAGAGATAGATAGTGAGAAGAGCAGAGACAGGAGAGAAGAGAAGTTCCATTCAGGACTAATGGGGTTAAACGCCTTAGCCATCAACCGAACGTCTCCCTCTTGATTCTTGGACGTTCCGATTCGACTCCACTAAGATTCCAAGTACTCCCTTCTCTTCCTCTTCCTCTTCCTCCTACTCTTTCTCCTCCTTCTTCACCATCTCCTCCTCTTCCTCATTCTCCTTCTCCTCCTCCTCCTCCTCCTCGTCCTTCTTCTGTTCATTCTATCCTAAGAATTCTGCAGGTGATACAATCCTTTTTATTTATCGAATTCGACATAATCGAAATCGAAATCGAAATCGTGTACGTAATCGAAACATCGAAACATCGAAAGTATTGTCTCCAATCAAGATTTTCAAATTCGACTCGTCAATTCAATAAATAAATTTTCTTTCCCCATTTTAATTTGTGACCGATACATTCAAATCGAAAAATTTTCATATCAGTATTAGGATCATTCGAATCTTTCTTTATAACATTTGTCAAATATTTTTATACTTGATCGTTATACTCGATATCCTATTTTTTGAAATCGATGATTTTCAAACATTCAATTCTTTTTTTTTTTTTATACTTTTGATAGTTCGTTTACGTAAATCGATTCATTTCTCCATCACGAAGGAAATAGATTATCTAATCGACGAGTAATTTTGAAATATGATTTAAATTTCTATGACGTGAAAAAAGAAAACTCCCCCAATAAAAATAATAATCGATTGTTATGTCATTTTTAAACGGAGAACTAATTGTTCGTTTAATAATTTTTCTTTAATTTTTTATTGTTTACACTTCGAAAATATCTATTTATTAATTGATAGATCGATAATACGTATGAGTGGTATGTAAAATAAATCGATGCAAAAAGAAAAAGAAAAAGAGAACAAAAAAAAAAAAGAACAAAAAAAAAAGAAAAAGAACAAGTCAAACGCATGAGATTTTCATTCGAAAAACTTCCGACGATGACTACTTTCAAATTTTTCAATGACGTCACCTATCCAACCAAAATTTCTACGTAACACTATACATAGTATGAAATCGTAGAAAGATAACTCGTAGGAATTTTAGATCACTTTGGACTCGTTTAGTTTCGTTTAGTTTACTTTAGTTTCATTCAGTTCCGTTCCGTTTCGTTTCGTTTCGTTTCGTTTCGTTTCATGTCAAGGTCGAGACTAGAGTTCAAAAAGCACAGAGTGCAAAAGTTGTAAGAATTTTCTTTGTGATATTTTTTCCTTTCCTTTTCTCTCTCTTTTTTTTCCTTTTTTTTCTCTCTCTTTTTTTTTTTTTTCATCGAAGTTGAAAAACGTAATATCGAAATACTGAGATCGTTTGATAAAGAAAAAAGAAAAGGAAAAAGAAGAAGAGAAGACATTTTTAGCAACGTATTAGCCATTGACATTCCGCCTTAGCCATTGGACAAAAGACGTTAACTTTTATGCTTTCTTACGTTCCTTGAATCTCTCTCTCTCTCTCTCTCTCTCTCTCTCTCTCTCTCTCTTTTCGATCCTTTCCTTTTCCCTAAGTGAATTTTATCATAATCGTTCGCGCGATGGTCCGTTCTAATCGAATGTCAAATTGAAAATGACGTATGTACTATATGTAAGTCTACTCTCTGTTCTACTCGCTTAGGGATAAAGTGTGCTTATTCGATAAGGGAAACTAAAAAAGAAAAAAAAAAAAAGAAAAAACACGATATTTTTCTTTCCAATCGTATGAAACTTATGTACGCGCACGTTCACTTCTTCTTATCTCGTTTCTACTTACGGAATCGATATTGACACAAGTTTTGAAGATGCGGATTATATAAAAGTTAACATGTATATATGTATATATATATATATATATATATATATATATATACACCGTTTCGTGACATCATTTATGAAGTCTTCTTTTACGTATACATGTCTATATCTATATATACACAATATATACATATAATGGGCCCAAAAGTTTGTAATAGTATTAAAAGTTTCTTGAATTATTTAAAAAAAAAAAAAAATTAATAACTCTGTCTCTGTCTCTGTCTGTCTCTCTCTCTCTCTGTCTCTCTCTCTCTTTCTCGTAAATATTTTCAATCAAATTTTTTGATCACATCGTAAAATATTACAAGCCGATAGAAATTTCTCGAAAGATGTGTAATTGATTATTAAAATCGCATAAAATTTTTTGCACCCAATTCACCCCATTAGACATAGGTATTTGTATTAAGTATAATAACCGATGTGTCTTCGATATAAAAATTAATCGTTTATTCTTACGATTCATGAAAGATTTCACGAATAATTTTGACAAATTTATTCGTTCGTATATTCGGTCGATTTTCTCGTAACAGACGTTTTAAAATTGAAACGTCGTATACTAATTGTATATAATTATTTACACTTAATAATCATTATAATCATTATAAACATATCTTCATAGAGATATTATAAAAAATTATAAAAAATAATCTTTGTAAGAAGTATTTCGTTTGTTATCGAAATTTTTGGACGGTCTATTGTCGACATTAATTTGTCGTAACATTGAATTACGATATTTATCCTTCTTAGCCCTTTAAATCGATTAAAATTTTTAACCCTTAAAGTATTTCATAAATTTTTCAAATATCATTTAAAAATACCACGAAAAGTATGAGCGATCTTTGAATTCATCATTGGGATTAAAATATTTCTTTTAAAAATGACAAATATTTTTACGTTCTATCCCATTATTATTTTATTTTATATCCTCACAAAATCTACGTAGTTTTATTATAAAAGAAAAAAAAATAAAATATCATCCCTTGTAAATAAATATACATAAAGGTTAAGCCAAAAGTTTGGTGATCGTATTGAAAATCTTTTAGATTATTTTTCCAAAAAAATTAATTATTCCTTCTCGTGAATGCTTTTTTAGGCTAACTTTTTAATATCTCATTGTAAAACTGTTAAATTAAATTGAATTATATTTAAAAATATAAAATCTAATATATATGTTGATTGAAGGTATATATATATATATATTTTTTTTTTTTTTTTTTTGGAAAACTCACAAAGCTCTCTATAGTCGTTTCTATAGATAATAAAAGGTATTATTGTCAATTAAATATTCAATAACTCACCTTTGTGTGCCATATCGTCAGCGGTGACGGAGGCGAGGAGGCCGGTGGCGCCCGGCCATGGAGCGACCGCAGCGCCGAGCTGCTGCGAAGGCAGAATCTTCGGGCCTTTGGCACGCTACAGGTCACTGAAAAATTTTTCGATTAATTAATAATTAAATATCTTTTTATACAGATATTCGACATATTTTTTTTCTCTTTTTTTCTTTTTTTTTTTTATTCGAACTTCCTCGAAAAAAATCACGTATCGCTCTACCAACGCGGAATATTTTTCTTTTCATTTTTATCTATATTATTTATTTATCTACGTATATAATATATATATATATATATATATATGCGCGTGTATGTATATATATATATATATATATATATATATATATATATATATTGTTTTGTACTGATACGTATCTCCTATATATTTTTTACTCGCATAATCGCACCTGTGTAAATGATAAATACGTTTGACGTTTCGTCGATACGTCGTCTCATGCGAAAACACTGCTTGAAATGTTGGCACATACTAAAATAATAATTTCTCATATCAGCTAATTACTTACTTACTTACTTACTTACTCACTTACGTATCTAATGCATGCACGGCCAAAAAAATTCTAAAGCAGTAATTTTAAAAGATCGATTAAATTATTCTTTATCGAGACATTTCAAGGTTGGCATTGTAATCATTCTTATAGTTTTACTATCGTGAGTGTAAGGATTAGTTAAAGAGAAGAATAAAAAAAAAAGAAAAAAAAAAAAGAAAAGAAAGAGAAAGGAAAAAAAATTAAAAAGAAAGAAGAAAGAAAAATATCTCGAAGAAGATTATTTGATCTTTAAAATCTTTTAAGAATTTATGGTCTATTTCAAAACTTTTAACCCACCCCATCTATACATATCTATACATCTTTCTATTATTCTATTACTACATAGATGCATATATATATATATATATATATATGTATGTATGTATCTTATATATGTAAATATGTAAATATGTAAATAAAACAGAGTACACGTTCGAAGATGATGATCCTCTGTACGAAAAGAGTCGACGTTTACCCTCTTAAAACTCGATTCGTTCGATGAAATAATACGAGCACGTAGGATTCTCTTACTGAACGGGATTGATAGGGGAAGAGTGGGGGTTGAGCTGGGGATGAACGTAACATTGACGATATGAAGTATCGTAATTACCTCGTTTCGTACACGTTGAAGATGTTAACTACTCGCAAAAGTAACACCCTTCAAATTCTTCATCGTTTGCAGCGTGAAAGCGCGAGAAAAACAGGAGTAAGAGAGAATTATAAAGAGAAAAAGAAAGAAAAAGAGAAAAGGAAAGAGAGGGAGATAGAGAGATAAAGAGAGAGAGAGAGAGAGAGAGGAAAAAAAAAGAGGAAAGAGGAAATACGTTGGTGAAGGATCGGAGGGAGTAGAAGTGAGGCTAAGTGCGATAATTAGTGTTCCGAGGGGTTCCGTTGGTTATCATCGTGATGCATACGAGAGATATCTCAGGAGAAAGAGAGAGAGAGAGAGAGAGAAATAAAATTACAGGGTGGCCCAAAAGTTCCTAGATCATGCGAAAAAAGATCTTAGGTGATATTTAAAAATCAATTTTACACTTTCTCGAGAAACTTTTTAGTCTAATTTTTTTTTCTTCGTATCATTCTTTTTTCTTTTTTTACTTTCTTTTTTCTTTTCGTAAAAACTACTTACGACACAGAAAACCGTGAAAAGTTTCGAGAAAAGAAACTATTGATTGATTTTTGAAAAATTCACGTAGAAAAAACTTTCGGATCGTTTCTCCATAGGAAAAAATCTGTCGAATAGTTAAATAAAATTTCTCTCTCTCTCTCTCTCTCTCTCTCTCTCTCTCTCTTTTCTATCTCTGCGTGTGTGTGTGTGTTTCTTTCAGAATCTTTACGAGAAATGTTCATGTAAATCATTCAATCGTGTTACAATGAAATCATTCGTATTAATGTAAATTATTTTATAAGGATTCTAGAAGTAATAAGAGTCAATAATTTGACTGATTAAAAAGTGTGAAATCTATTATCATTTTTATACGAATAAAATCTATACAGCGTAACACCCAACATTGATGCTATCTATAGATATAGGAGTTATTTGCACATACCTAAATCTCTAATACAAAGATGAAAAACAAAAGTAAAAGAAAGAAAAAGAATGAAAGAAAGAAAGAAAGAAAGAAAGAAAGAGAGAAAGAAAGAGAAGGTGACATTTGAACGTGAAAGAAAAGGAAAAGTTAAGTTAGAGAGAGAAAGGGACAGAGATAAAAAGAGAAAGAAAGAGATATAAAGACTACTTTTCTTTTTTTTTTTCTTTTTTTTTTTTTTTTTGATAAAGCCCTTATGTAAAAGCAATTCAGAATAGAGTAATGAACTAATTAGGACGTAATAAATTCTGAAATCGTTATTGTTCGTTGGCGTGTCGGTTTACACGATTCGTAGCAGAGGGAACGATGTCAATGGGAAGAGAACAGATTCGTGAAACGAAACGAAAGGAAACGAAATGAAACGCGAACGTAACGAGTAAAGGTTGAACGTCATCGCGAAACGAAACACACATCGGCGTATGTACATACATAGGATACATACATACATATATTCGAAAGAATTGAAAGACCTTTTCAAAGAAATCAAATGGCAATCTGCGCAATGTGCGGATTTATGATTTAGCGCCGTAGCAAATTTTAAAAGCGATTTATTATCAAAGGACTCGATTATTTTCCGGACGTTTCAACTACGGCTACGAGAATGTATCGAGGTATAGATATACGTAAATAAAAGGAGTAAAAGGAGATGGAGAAGGGAATGGAGGAAATGAGGAGAGAGTAGTGGGGGTGGGGGATAGGGAGTTGGGAGGAAAAGACAGAGATAAACGTAGTAGTCATGACATAACGTTTGAAAGAAGAGCACGAAGTTATGAAGGAAAAAGTAGAAAAAGATATTGAAAGAAAGGAAAGGAAAGGAAAGTAAAGGAAAGAGAGAGAGAGAGAGAGAGAGAGAGAGAGAGAGAGAAAAGAAAGAAAATAAAAAGAGAACAGAGAAATGGAAAAAAATGTTACCAGCTGTTCTGTTACACCAACGACGGCACATAATCGGATCTGAAGAATTATGAGAAAAGAAAAGCGAGAAAGCATGTTTCACTCTGTAAATTGTTTGCAATGCTTTTTTTCTTTTTCTTTTCCTTTCTCCTTTTTTTTCTTTTTTTTTTTCTTGCCTTTTTTTTTGCAAACAAATCTCTCTCTCTCTCTCTCTCTCTCGTCTCGCATACACACACGTTCTTTTTCTTGTTTTTCTCAATTTTTTTCCTCCCTTTCTTTCTTCCTCGTTCCTTTTTTTCCCCCGTACTATTAATGCTTACGTATTACCTATATGTCTCTCAACGTATAAACGACGTTATATCTCTTTTATTTCTTTTTTTTTTATTTTTTTTTTTTATTTTATTTTTCTAAAAATAGAATTCTCTACGTTCTAGAAAAAGAGAGAAATAAAGAGAAAGAGAGTATGTGTGTGTGTGTGTGTGTGTGTGTGTGTGTGAGAGAGAGAGAGAGAGAGAAAGAAAGAGAATATCTTCGGTATAGAAGATAACACTAGTGTAAAAAGATAGGCTGGATGCTGGAGAACATAACACGGAGAAAGAGAGAGAGAGAGAGTAAGAGAGAGAAGGAAAGGTAGATCTATGCAGGAAGAGAGATAGATGGATAGATGGATAGATAGATATAGAGAGAGAGAGAGAGAGAGAGAGAGTACATCGCGCTCGCATATTGTGCAGAGAGGATTACCTTGGATTATGCCCGACTGAGCGCAAACAGGATCTCACCGGCTTGTGTTTACAAGACGCCAAGCTGTCGATTTAGTAAACTCGAACTGAACTCTATCTCCGTGGTGTAAAGAGCCGATTCGAATCGGATCGCGATTAATACCAGAGACCGTCTTCCGTCTATAAATTTAAAGCTCATATCAATATCGTTAAGAAATAATATTTGTTATACTAAGAAACGAATTGAGATTTTTCGATGAAATAACATTTACGATGATGTCATTTGAACGATATCAAACCTCATGACAAATATCTATCTATTATTATGATTAGTCTAATCAATAATCAGTCAAACTCGATAGACGAACAGACGAACGGATGGATGGATGGATGGATAGATAGATAGATAGATAGATGGATAGATGGATAGATAGATAGATAGATAGATAGATAGATAGATAGATAGATAGATAGATAGATAGATAGATAGATAGATAGATAGATAGATAGATAGATAGATAGATAGATAGATCGATCGATCGATCGATCGATCGATGGATGGATGGACGGATGAATAGATCACGATTGAAATATCTGCGGCAAGGTAAATTTTTTTCTTTTTTTCTTCTTTTTTTTTCATTTTTTCTTTTTTTGTTTTTGTTTTTTTTTTTTTAAGTCTATCATACCTTATCGTTTTAAATAGATACTTATAACATTCGATCAGCTTATTCGCCGACGCAATTTTTGGTCTTTCTTCTTCTTTTTGTTTATGAAAAAGAAAAAAAGACAAAAAAAGAAAAAATATAAATAGGTGTATATTCGCGAATTTGATATCTCTCTCTCTCTCTCTCTCTCTCTCTATTTATCTCTTTATTTATTTCTCTTTCACTGTCTCTCTTTCTTAAGTATCCGAGCAAAATAATAATATCTTTCGAACAATCCCCTAGGATACCTAACCCAGCTATATATATATATATATATATATATATATATATATATATATATACTACATATCCCTCTCCTTTCGTCTCACTCCTAGCTCATACGACAACGTGTCCCGAACGCGAACGGTGACAACGCGTGAATAAGCGCGAAACAACGTCGGCATGGGTATTATACAACCGGATGGTAATAGGTTCCATATCCAAGAGCTGCCGGCACATTATGCTTTACATTTCCGGCCGAAACACTGTTAATGGCACTGGCACCGGCAGTACCTACCTACCAACACCATCACTTTGTATCACCATCGTCACCATCGTGTACCACTACTACATCTACACCAAGCACACCACCAATGAATATTCCCGTCAACGTTTCTGACACCGTCAAAATCCATACCGCC